TGGGGTCTCGTGCGATTGCGCTCAATCTCATATGTAAGACGATTGTACGACCTTCGTGATTTCTTCACCCTTGAAATATATATCTTTGCATCACGAATCGTCCGTTCGGTCAAAGGGATTGCGCGTTATCTCATAGCACGTTATCATTGTTTTCATCCAAGATGGCACGTGCCTCGGTGTGATGCTTCTTGTAATCGTCGAAATGTTACCGGTTATTCTCGACGTCGTCGTGCCGATGAACGCATCCCGGCCGCACAAAATCATAATAGACTTCGAAATGTTTCTCGACAAGCAGCAATATTTCTACGCCTATCTGATGGTCGAGATCGTGATGGCCGCAGTTGGATTTTCAACGATTATCGCGATCAGCTCACTGCTCATTGCGTTCTTCAGACATTCGTGCGCCATCTTCAAAATTTCCAGGTGAGTGCCATCGCTGCCGCGAATCTCGGTAAGAACGAAGCGATCCACTTTGTATCGCACATTAACTGTGAGTAATTGATATTGAGTATTTGTTATTCTGATCACCAATGAATTATTTGCAGCATTTTGATCGGGAATACAGTGACTAAACACTCGCTTGAAATTCCAGATGATCGAAAAACGCGCGAGATGTGCCGGAGGATCACTCGTGCCGTTTGTATGCACAGAAAAGCTATACAGTTATGTCTTTACGTGATTTATTTACTTTTTACATTTTACAATTCGTAATTTAGCGTGTTATGTATGCATAAAATTTCACTTGAACAGTACATTTCATCACTCTCATAACATAAAACTACTTCGTTTTTCTCTGATTTCTCTCTCTATTACCAAAGGTTCTCCAAATCTATATTAGATGTTCTGAACAAATGGTTATTTGTTCTGATCGGGCTCTCTGTTTTCTCCCTGAGTTGCAATCTTTTCCAAGTACGTAATGCGTTACCACGCGTAATATATTTTACATTTAATGCATGCATGCGTCTGTGTACTGGATTGACATTATGCATTTTCGTGTTTTAGCTTCTCATAGCAATGACAGTAATAAGGGAACTTCCCATTGTAACGATATGCATTGGAGTTGTGTTTGGTCACTTTTTACTTTTGTTTATATATAATTTTTTGGGACAAACAGTTATAGATCACAGCGAAGATATATT